CTCTGCACCTCGCGATTCCAACCTCCGCTCCCGAGGGCCAGCTTGTGGTTAATTTGGCCTCGCTCGTGAGCGCCCCCGGCTGGGGACACAGTGTCTGTGCGCAACTTCTCGGTGGATCCGGCTGTACACCGTTCCCCGTCGGTGTTCTACGAGGTCAGCACACGCACCAGCTGCTCTTTTGCTGCGGCGATGCAGCGTCTAGGTGGCACCGTCATCAGCGTCACCGACACGACATCCTCCGTGCAGAAGGGCGAGAGTTTAGAAGGGCGTGGGTAGATTCTTCGGATGGATGGGATGATTTGCATGGATGGGTGTTTGGTTGTGTGGATGGTCTGGTTAGATGGCCCTCCTGCGTTGGGTGGTGTCGTGATTGATGGACTGGGTCGGTGAGGTGGGTGCGATGCGAGTTGTTCTGCGTTGGCCTCCGCCGTGCGGTGGAGGGATGATGGTCGTGATGGCCTCTGCGCGCTGGGGGCGGTGGGGATTGTAGTGGATATGATGCTGCGACAGTGGTGTGTGGCTCTGCATGGGAGCTGGTGTGGGTGGGGGGGGTTATGTGCTCATGACTGGCTGGGGTGGGTTGGGGGGGTTAGTGGCTGGACATTGGTGGATGGTGTGGGTGGGTATGTGGCTGGACATTGGTGGATGGGTGGGTATGTGGCTAGACATTGGTGGGTGGGTGGATTGATTGATGGGTACATTGATGGATCGGTGGGTAGATGGAAGGATTGAACGTGTTGATGAGTCAGTTGATTTTGTGGAAGTAACGGTAGATTGCATGGAAGGGTGAGTGTGTGTTGCAAGTTATTTTGTCTGTAATTGTTACGTTTGCCATACCTAAAGCTAAACTGATATGAAGAGAGAATGGTATCGGTAGTGTTTGCATTTTGCAACAACAGAGCCCCTGCTACTTCACTAGCAGAGTAAACTGCCAAAGCAAACAGTAGTAATATCTACTATAATGTACTCTTTCATTACATCCACTGTTGTACACTCTAGACATGCACTGAGAGGCACTGAAAATTAACATGTGATGTGAAAGTGATTACTTCACCGTAAATAGTGAAACTAAAAAATATTTCCCCACTTTTTCACAAAATGTAAGTAATTCTGTTCACTTTTTATGGTTAAATTGCTGCATTTATTATACTTCATATTTTACTATATTGATCGATGTAAACATACACTCGTGACTCATACATAGCCCATAGCAAGCAATTAATGTCAGGATCCTAATATCAAATTGTCCAGGTCTTTTTAATTTTAACTAGTTGAGAAACAATCTCATCAGGTAAGAATTTGACGATACATTTAGCTCTTAGTACTTGCTTTTATTGTAAAAAGTTGCAACAAAATTTTTCCAAATATACACCATAGAAAATTCGTGACGTAGTCAATTGAAGTGAAATGACATGTTATTTTGATTTGCAACGGTCCCCTTGTTTATTATGTGCCATGTTTGATCATGCCATAAATATCCTATTTTAGACACGATCAGAGTTATGTCGGGCTATTCGGACGTCGTAGTTTTGAGGCATCCGAAACCTGGAGCGGTCGCGGTAGGTGCTAGTGTTATGAGCATTGTACTTCTGATGATGTGTGTTGTATGTAGATGTTTACCCAGTTATGCTATAGTGGTATCATATTGCGTACACTTGCAGCAGGAGCATTGTGTCATATGTGCAGTATGACAATAAGTGTTTCATTTCTGGATGGAAGTAGTAGTTCACTCGCCGTTACATCACACCTAGTACACTAGTCATCACGTTTTTTGTGAATCATTATGTAGAATTAATTGCAAAAGGTCATCCATAGTTGACCCATTCGCCTGGCTCGATTGACCGCCAACAGCTCTAACCAATCACAATCAGTGATACAGTAGGCCGTTTTAAAAACAATGTTTAGTAGCAACGTGGCATATAGGACGTAATTGTGGTGTGGACTAACTCTATGGTCTGGCTTGACCAATGTAGCAATACTGTCCCAGTGATCGAGGCAGTGCTTATTTCGCTCAGGGAGCTCGTTTCACAAGTACGGTTACTGACGGATGCCATTTTGTTTTGACAGCTCGCTGCCAAGACTTCCATGAAGCCTGTGATTAATGCAGGAGATGGCACTGGCGAGCACCCCACCCAAGCTCTCCTCGACATCTTCACAATACGCGAGGAAATCGGCACGGTGAACGGACTGACGGTCAGTCGTTTTCAATTGAATTTCTATTCGTTAATTCGCTCCCAAAGCCCATCGAGGCTGATGCGAAATTCAAGGTTGTACTCGCGCTAAAATCTCGCAGTCACAGGCCATCTGAAAGTCGTAGAAACGCCTGGGCAAACATTTTGCATTGTCTTAAGCTGGGATTACACTACCGACGTTGTGTTGGCAAATTGGCGAATTGGACCAACTTCCCAACTATACAACCGACAATCGGCAGTGTAAACGCAAACGTTGCACGACCAACCGATCGATAGCAACTAGTTGGGCGATTATAGAACATGTTCTATTTTCGGGGTTCCAACTCGGAGTTGGCGAATTGGGAAGTTGGTCCAATTCGCCAACATAAAGTCGGTAGTGTAAACCCAGCTTTATACGAATTATGTCATCGTTGTTGTCGCGCGTTGCAGGTGACGATGGTGGGCGACCTCAAACATGGCCGCACCGTGCATTCGCTCGCCAAGCTGCTGACGATGTATCGCGTGAGCCTGCGCTACGTGTCGCCCGTCTCGCTACGCATGCCCCATGCCATCATCGACTACATTCGCTCGACGGGCACGCAGCAGGTAGGCTAAGCTCGCCACCCTTCCCCCTCCTCCGCAGCACACCCGCCCATCCCTGTACTAGCGATACGTACTAGATCAACGTAGCCAGATAGTACTAGATTGTAGATACTAGTAGTAGTAGTAGTAGTACTAGATAGACTAGCAATACATACTAGAGATACGTTTGAAGTGAATGCTCGGACTGTCTCTACGGGATGCGGATCCATTGCCTCCCTGCGGTTTCACTCGACTCAATTCTAAAATCTTGTTCGTATAGATCAAACGTTCGAAAACGATAATAGAATAGATAATATAGAATACAATAAAAGATAATTGAAATGAATAGTTTCGATCGCGAACGTAGCATTTGCTTTTCATGATAAAAATTGCCTCGATCGAGAAGATTTTGTTTTTCGATTTTTTAATTCGATTTTCTCGATTTTTTTTATTCGATTTTTTCGATTTTGTTGCTTGATGTCGGTGTCGTCGTCTGCTGCAGGAGGAGTTTGCGAGCCTGGAGGAGGCGCTGCCGGACACGGACGTGCTCTACGTGACGCGCGTGCAGCGCGAGCGATTCGCGTCGCCCGACGCCTACCGGCAGGCGTGCAACCATTTTGTCGTCACCCCGCAGCTGATGACACTCGCCAAGGCGAAGATGGTCGTCATGCACCCGCTTCCCCGGTTAGACGAGATCAGGTGGGTGGGTGGGTGTGTTTGGGTGTGTGGGTTGGTTGGTTGGTTGTTGGTTGGTTTGGTTGGCTGGCTGGCTGGCTGGCTGGCTGGTTGGTTGGTTGGTTGGCTGGTTGGCTGGCTCGCTAGTTGGCTGGCTGGTTGGTTGGTTCGTTGGCTGGCTGGCTGGCTGGCTGGCTGGCTGGCTCACTGGTTGGTTGGCTGGCTGTCTGGCTGGCTTGCTGGTGTGTTGGTTTGGGTGGTTGTGGCTTGCATGCGTGCGTGCGTGCGTGTGTGTGTGCATGCGTGTGTTCGCGTGCATGTGTGTGCATGCGTGCGTGCGTGCGTGCGTGCGTGCGTGCGTGCGTGCGTGTGTGTGGTGCTTGTCTATGAGTGATCAGTGAGCTTCTTATCCGTGCACGAAAAATTTGTAACGCCAGATTGCTTCTGCATTGCAGCTCCAAGTGCGACATGGATCCGCGGGCCGCCTACTTCAGACAGGCTGAGAACGGCATGTTCGTGCGCATGGCACTACTAGCACTCGTGCTGGGATCAGTGTGATGTATCGCATGCAGACACATACCTATGTGAACTAAAGAATGCTCGAGGATATGCCAGCAAGCATCAGGGGACTTCAGAAGCTTGAATTATTAAGCACATTGTAATTCTACGGTGTCGTAACTTTCGCTGCTGTGTAACAGTTGTGACGTTTCATACTTGTTATGCAGCTGTAAGTATTTATGTTCCTGGCAATATGGCCCTGGTATTCTAGTAGTCTGTGATTTTCTTATGACAACTTGGCATGGGGCTACCGGGGGGGCTGTGAAGTGTGTGCACTGTGCACACAGCTAATGATGTAACAGGTGTGCCAGATATACACCTGTCAGCGCATCAGAAATTATTGTCAGATTTGTCAATTTGTTGTATGTTGTCGGGCTGTGCGGTGGTGGGGAAAATGTTTAAGAGTAATGTGATGTAGGGTGTAGGTGGCTAAAGCCTTCTGCCCATTGCACATGTTCAACGATGTGTTCGAATGTATTTGAATGTGTTTAACACACGCTGGGTATGATAGTTATATTCCAAATACGTTCGATGTGGAAAACGAGTTGTTTAATTTAATTAAACGCGATGTAACGTGGCGTAAGATAAATTTGAATGAATAATGAAAAAAACACGTAGTCTGTGATGCAGAAGAAACAATATTATCACTGTAATAGTATTACGTGTGTTCAGTCAGTGTGATAGGCAATGAAATTATCATGACATGCTCAATTCATGATTCTCACAGATTAAGTCATTCGGCAGTGGAGTATAGTCCTTAGTTTATGTCATTGACTTATAGTAATCAATAAACTAAACTATGAAGCTGCAAAACAAATTCGAGGCAAAATGAAATAAACTTCCACGAGATACACATTTATTATAGCCATTAATTGTCATTTGTAAATCACATGTTCACTGTTATCATTATATAATATATATATAGAGAGAGAGAGAGAGCGAGAGAGACAGAGAGAGATAGAATGAGAAAGACAGAGAGAGAGCGTGTACGTACAGCCGCCTCCGCAGAGACCGCCCACACGCCTCCCTCTATTTGCATGCGGGCGGAGAAAGCGCCGCCGCCGTCATGACGCGCCAACGTAGCGCGATCCGCGGCTGCTGGCGCATGCGCAAAACCGATCTCCTTGCGGGTGTTACGAAATGCACTAACCCAGTTTATACAACAAACTACTTAATTCTAAACCATCAGGACAGTTCCGTTAGTGCGTACACGTGTAACTATTATCACTTTACTGTACGATATAAGCGCTTCTCCTCCTATCATATATATATCATATATATATATATATATATATATATATATATATAATGGAGAGAGAGACATAATTATATATATATATATATATACAGGGTTTATATATATATATATATATATATATATATATATATATATATATATATATAATGGAATCTAGTAGCAGCAAAAGACATTACGGTGACAAATGCGTTGTCTTCAATTGATTGATATTTGGTCGTGGTGTCGTATATTTTTACAATTCACATATCAACTAAAACGAATGATGATGATATTTCTAGCTTGTTTGAGTTGTAGCTCAAATGAAGTCAACGCAATGGCTTGGCTTAACTCCGTGCGTCTGTGGGCCGGTAACAATAGCGGCATATATCGGGCTTTTTGTTTCAGTGCTTACCAACCAATTTCGTGGCTATGTTGAAAGGATCATGAAATGTGCTTTCCGCTGATGCGTACAAAGAGCGCATTGCTTTGTTTACTTTTTCTACAGGAGCGCTTATATGCCTTTGTCCGTGTACCTGTGATGATGTGAAAGGTTAGTTAAACACCGTTTAACTGAGTGAATCATATTTGTATGGGATGCATTCTCAGATCAGGATCCGCAGCAACCAGATATCGCAGCAACCAGTACCTGTCCTGTGTTTGTAATGCGCGTGTTGCCGGAATAAATCAGCAGCTGCTACGGGCGTGAGTGAAATCGAGAATCGAAATCAATATCTCTTGTTCGGTGTGTGTCGTGTTGGCAATTGTTTTCGTTATTCGTGAAGAAAAATGTTAACGCTGAAATTTGAGTTATTGATGCGAATTACAAAGCGGTGGTTGTTCAGAAAACCCGTTGCTGCTGTTTTAGGGTGCAGCCTGCAGTTATGAATGATATATGCTCTCATACGCCCCGGAAGTTCCCATGATTGCAGTTTGTTAAAATGTTGCAGACGTTTTCTGCGTGTAATTTCCTTGCGGAAACACCCGTTTAGTGTTGAATCAACCCGTTGAATTTACTTGGTGGTAAAAAAAACATCTGTTACTTTGAAAAACATTTTAATTTACAACATACGAACTGACATTTCAGGCTGCCTGGAACTTTTTATTAGCATACATAAATGATGGCCTATTAATTAAGCGTGGATGCTATGTGCTGAAAACATGGTTGCTGAAATTCAAGTACGTCTTACGGTAATTTTTTATTTTTTTATTTTTCTGCTGGAAGTTTTGACAGAGATATTGATGTTGAATTGGCAAGATGTGTGCATAGACAATGCCGTATAGAGAGAGGCTGCAAGTGGGCGCTAGGGCAAATTATGCTAACCATAATTTATGCTGCCCTACACATTCCAGAAGAACTGTGGATCCTGACGTATACATAGGTGCAAACACTTGTTTACATGGTTCTCACGCGCACACACACGCGGGCTGGCACGCACACACCCCACACACTTTTCTTTTCGATAATCGAAATATTTTATCACCACGTCAAATGTCGCACGTGCGATTCTCTCAAAAGCGCGAATGCTATTTTGTTGTATTTCTAGAAGTAAAGTCGTAAGAGCTGACGTATAATATATAAACTCAACAAAGGATTTATTTCCAGCCACTCTCCAGCCTGCCACGTAGTAGAGTTACCACGCAAGTACATGGCTTTAGGAAATAGTATAGCGCCACCTATTGGGCCTAATATGGGCAAATGATACAATAATGTCACATATTTCTTGAGCTGGTGCAACGTAACTAGTTAGCAACACGCTACATACAAAGCTAGACATTTACCTACATACGAGGTGATATCATAGACGCTGTTTTATTAATAAGTAAACGTTGATTGCTGTTACGCCTACAAGCACACCGCAGAATTTTGAATAAATTTTTGTAGCAAGCAATAAAATTGCCGGCTTCGACAATAAATATTGTCCGACACATTCTAAGTGCAAACGATGCGACGTTAATACGATCAGTGGTGGATGATGACAATGATTTGTCATCATCCACCCCGGATACGATGATAATATAATGATGAAAGCGCCCACGCCTGAAAGTGCGAACAATTACGGCCCGTAGCTGGCATGTTTATCATTACCGGAACCGCCGTTATGTGTTACCACAACTTAATTGTGGTAATATTATTGCTTAATAATAGCTTCATATTGCCTACGATGTGCAGGGGGCGGTTTTGGGATCAAGCGAGCGGATAGAGAGGATGGTCTAGGGGTCTGGGGGCCTCCGCTATCGTCACTGTATGTCAGACGTTACCGTGAGGCAAAGATACCTCTCAGTTGAGATCATATAAGATAACTCGACATTTGAAAATGTGTAGTTAAAACATAGTGATGCAACTATATTCTCTAGGAGTTCTGGGTGTCCGCTCTGCAATCCTCCCTTACTCTACATGCATGGAGCAGCAGATAATCTAGCAGCAGAGCGTCTACCTCTCTCTGAATTCCTGGTTTCGCCTCCGCGGACATTAAACCTTCGTTACCTGCGGGATCATTCGTAGGGGTGACGAAATCTATATTAATTAAACCCGCATTAATTTTGCCTGATTAATTGTTTATTCAGGTCGCTATGCGCAGTGGGTGCAGCAGTACCTACCCGCATGTCATCAAGAGCTAATAATGCCTCTTTATTATTATTAGTATTATTAGCTCTTGATGTCATCTAAACTGACAACACAAATATAAGGCTGCATTAGTTGCTCAATAAACACAGTTCCGCTCGTAGTTTATCAAGTGACAAGTTCGTGACACGACATTGCTTGCTTGTTAAAGTCTGACATTTTTGTCAATCGCATAGAAGATGAAGAGGACACTAGCAATCTTCTTTGCTGCACTTCTGGTAAGTTCACAACGGTCACGTTTAAGCAAGAAGTTCAATAAATTACTTATGTTATTAGTTTATTATTAGTTTTGCTGTAAAATAACACGATCACCCTTGTTCATCGCTAACGTTAAAGCTCACATTGGTCGCATGATAAGCTCGTCGAACCATAAATATCATGTGTTTGTTTGTATAATTATATAATATATGTGTTTGTATATATCGATGGTCGAACCTACTGGACTGGTGATAGACCTGCGTCCCGTAGAGACGGTCCAGGCCTTCGCTGCAATCGTGTGTAATTTCGAAATTTTAGTCCTAATCAGTCGTTTCCTTGATGCCGCTCTAGGTGGTGTGCCTTATCACGGACACCGAGGCTCGCCGAGACAGATCTAAAGGTAGTAGGAGACACAAGCGTGATGTCGGCATGGTGAACGAAATGGCGGAAAAACAGCTGGGTGCACGAGTAGAACGCGGTGAGTACACAGACGATCACACGACACACCGACACGCGCGCACGCACGCGTAAACTGGGCCTAGGCATGCAGCGCCGCTTAATTATGCGCAATTCATCAAGCCAATTAACACACGTCAGCGCAGCGTGCGCATACCTATGCGGATTTAGGCGCGATTCACCAAGCTACTATACGCTGACGTCCACTCTGTCTCTCTCTCTCTCTAATAGTTAGCTATAATTAGCTATAGTTTGGCTGCAATAAACTATCGTTATCACATGCGCTTTTATCCTATTTTTAGTAACTATGCCCATATTATCAAGAGCCTACATGTGAAAATATATAAATATAATATTAGCTCTTGATAATAGTTTCCTAACTTGAGTTTAGTTGGTGTACCTCTGAGTTGTGAAGGCGTCTTGAAGCCCCATCTCCTGAAATATCCACATTAGAAAGTGCGCCCCTAACCATGAACGTATTGCCATACGACATTATTGCTCTGAAATTAGTCAATGCAAAATTGTTTGCGAAGATAAGAATATTCTTTACATGATCCGTAAACTGAATCCGTGGTCTGTTTCAGACGTGGCATTTGAAGATGGAAACAGAATAGCCGACGAGGAAGATCACGTTGTTGGCAAAGACAGAGCTTTTTACGGCTAGACATGGCCTTCCGTAACAGAGGCCGATTTTTCCAATATTTATTATCACGATGCAGTTTCCTAAGCAGTCGTGCTTCCTGGACGTGCCCCCGGTATAGTGGTGCGTTCTACATGCATTACGCGCAGCAGACAAGTAGGATTTACGAATTACCAATGCAGGTGATTGAAAACAATTTATAATAACTGATAACAAGCATCAAAGTCAATAATAACATGCATTTACAAACGACGAAGCATATTTATGCAAGACATGCAAAGTTATATATGAGATGCATCTAATATATAATAACTTTGCATGTAAATATGCTTCGTCGTTAGTAAATGCATATTATTATTGACGTTGATGCTTGTTATTATTTATTATAAATTCGTAAATCCTACTTGTTTCAGAAAAGACAATCCTAGCGGTGGAGAAACTATTCAACTTTATAGATACTAATATTATCAAAATAAATCATCACATTTAATAACGTCTGTTTGTCGTTCTTGTATCATATGCGCACAATTTGGCTATCCGTGATGATAACCACACACTCACACACACGCGCGCGCGCACGCTCGCACAGCGTACGCGCACAGCACACGGCGGCTCGCAGTGCGCGTACGACACACACACTGTGCATTTTCGCTTCGTCCACGTGGCCCGCACGCCGCGCTACGGCGACACACCACACACAACTCACGTGTACCGCACAACAGCACACCACGCGCGCGCCGCTGCACGACCACACCAGCACACACACACACAGCACACAACAGCACACACCACAACACACACACACCACACACCCACAGCCCACAACACACTACACGCGCGCAGCGCGCACGAGGAACAGTCACCACAGCATATATTGTTAAGACGCCTAAGTGCGAATTAATAAATAAACACGTCAATAAACGCAATGCGTGTCGTATACATTTGCAACGTGGAGAACGTTCATTCTTTTATTGCGATCTAAATGTAGTCGTACATTTATACCTAGAAATACCAAATGAGCTTGACCATAATTTGGCTATACTTCACGCACGGCTAGCATTATACATGCAATTAGTATATATATATGCGTGTGGCCGTTTATTTCACTGAACGCGGTGCATCGTGGGACGGGTGCTGTGAAGGGCATCATTACATCATTCATTACATCATGATATCACACACTACACGAATCAAACAGTGGGCGAACGAGAGAGAGAGAGAGAAAGAGAGATGAGAGAGAGAGAAGAAGTGAGGAGAGAGAGAGAGACGGAGAGAGACACAGAGAGAGAGAGAACGGCTGCGCGCCGCCAGAGCCGAGAGAGAGAGAGACGATGAGAGGACCAGAAGAGAGAGAAAGACTCGAGAAAGATAAGATGAGAGACCACCCCGCACGTAGCATGTACGAAAGACGAAAGAAGACCAGAGACGAGAGAGAGAGAGCGAACGCAGAGAGAGGACGCAGCACCAAGAGAGGCACCGAGAACAGACCCGCCAAGCCAAGCCACACCATACCTAGACAGACGACCACGAAGCACGCCCCGGGGGAGAGAGGAACCGAAGACCAAGAAGCCAGGGACCACGCACGCACGGAAGAAGAGAGAGAGAGAGAGAAAGAGAGAGAGAGAGAGCGCGAGAGAGAGAGAGAGAGAGAGAGAGAGAAAGAGAGAGAGAGAGAGAGCGAGAGAGACAGAGAGAGATAGAATGAGAAAGACAGAGAGAGAGCGTGTACGTACAGCCGCCTCCGCAGAGACCGCCCACACGCCTCCCTCTATTTGCATGCGGGCGGAGAAAGCGCCGCCGCCGTCATGACGCGCCAACGTAGCGCGATCCGCGGCTGCTGGCGCATGCGCAAAACCGATCTCCTTGCGGGTGTTACGAAATGCACTAACCCAGTTTATACAACAAACTACTTAATTCTAAACCATCAGGACAGTTCCGTTAGTGCGTACACGTGTAACTATTATCACTTTACTGTACGATATAAGCGCTTCTCCTCCTATCATATATATATCATATATATATATATATGTACATATATATGTATATATATATATATAATATATATCCCCCTCCTCTAACCCTCCCTAAATATTTCTTCCCTCTGCGACACTGATATGTAAGTGATATATGTAATTCCGCGTGAAGGCATGCGATCCTTTGCATACCCGGCGCGGTAGGCTACAGCGAGCGGCAGTCGAGATCACGCGAGATCACGCGGGATCACGATTCTTACGATACACTGGTAATCAAGTACATCACACGACCTCGTCATCATATCACAAGTACAGAAACAGAAGTGTAGAATGATTGAATCTCACCGATGATTTTCATCGATGTTCAATCGGCCGACTAACCCGTTTTGTGATGAGCGGCGTCTGTGAAATTAGATCAGACTTTACGTTTTCGTAGAAACCCGATCGCTCGTCTGGTGATCGTGTATATGGCTCGGCACCACTGATCTCTACTATACTAACGTTAGTAGAGATCAGTGCTCGGCACGAACACCACGAAAAATACCATCACCATTCGAATATTAAAACTCATCTCTCGAGATCTCGCGATAGGTTCTGCGGCCACGTGAGTCCTGGTTGGAATTTTTTTAAACCCAATAAGGTAGGCCCTATCGACGGTGACAAGTTGACGCATCGACTTTCACGACATTTATTTCTGTGGGACAGATGCACGGATAGTAGGACGAGGAACAGTCTACGCTATGTATACGTATATCTATATATAGGCAACAGTGAAGCTATACTGTATTCATCATAAAGACGATAAGAAGAGGTCATCAACTAACTCTATCCCTAACCGTTCATGAGCTCTCGGCGAGGAGGAAATAAACACAACTGTAGCATCCCCGGGTGAATTCACGTGACGATTTCATCAATAATTTAATTTCATAAGTCACCATCGAAATGAGCAAGAAAACCAGGGCGGACGAAACACGGACACAAGCACAATAAAATATATATATATGCAATAATATGGTGTAATACTGTCTATATAGACCGGGCGGATAGCTACACCCCCCCCCCATAACACCTCCGCGCAAAATAACGCACGATCGCGTTTACCTCGCTGGCATCTCACTAGGCATGCAACCTTCCTCACAATTATGACACATCGTTTTTATATCTTCTTATAAGAATATGCGTATAGATCTATTCTGTATAATTGCATTTGTAAAAAGATTTTGGCAAAATATTTTCGAAAATCATCTTTCTTCTTCGTCTCGTTTTTTTATAGCAGCGAATGATACAATGATATCAGGGGTTACACAGGGGTTATTAAACACTGGCCGTGGGCCCTAACTGAGCCATAACTAGCTAGCTAGAGTCTCTCTACTACTTGACGCGGTTAAAGCGACTTAGTCGGTTGATAGGGCCGTTGCTTGTTGCTCACGATGCTTCTGGTACCAACTCCACTTCCGTGACGCAGCCTTTCTTACTCTCATCCAGCCATCTAGAAAATAAACACATCGCGATAAATTCACAACGTAGCGTCCCTAGTTGATAAAGAAGTAGTATAAACTCACACACGCGGTGGCGCGTCGCGAGAACGCATAGATGAATGAATGAACTAATTAATTAATTAATTAATTAATGATCAAATGAATTAAAGCAAGAATGAAATATCGAACAAAGGAACAAGTGAAGGAATAAATAAAAGAAAGTGTGAAAAGATTTATTAATGAACCAACGAACCACCGAACGTACGAACTAAGGAACGAACGAATAAATAAATAGAGAAGCAAATGAATAGAGAATAGTTACAGAGAGGGAATCGAATCTCCGCGCTCACTTACTTGTCACACGGGAACACTATATCGGTCTCGGAGCCTTGCTCGCGTATGAGTACCTTGTCCAGGTACCAGCACGGGTTCGGCCCGCTCCCATTGTGCCCTATCACAATTCGCTGAAGCTTACCGAGTCCTGGCGAATCGACGACGAAGCGCTCTCCCTGAAACATCGCGCAGCAAAATATCTACCTGTAGTAGAGAGCGCGCGAGAGAGGGAGAGGGGCGAGGGAGAGAAAAACAGAAAGGTAGGGAGAGAGAGAGAGAGAGAGAGAGAGAGAGAGAGAGAGAGAGAGAGAGAGAGAGAGGGAGAGGAATAGGAGAGTAGAATTATAGGGAGAGAAATGAGGTGAGTGTGCGGGATAGCGAGACTTTTTTCGCGTAAGCTATAATTCTCACTGAACGAACGTATTCATCCAGGCAGAACAGGACGAGTAGGAAATTAAGTACAATATCACCAAAATACGATTTCGTATAATTCAAAAAAGTAGCTAGTTAGCATTTGCTCTCTAAATATAAAGTGAAATCTCAACAAAATACAATTTCACTCGTTTGAGGAAATCTGTATATACCGCTGCATATATCACGTTGGTCCCATATCGCCCTTTATTGACTAATTAAAATTTCATTAGACGATTCATTACGTCAACCAGAAAAAGAGGGCGCCCTATCATAAATAAAGAGATATCGGAGCTATTTCCAATGTCAAGCTATTGCGACGAACGATTGCTCTCCCTTTAAAAAGTGAAATTTCAATATAATATTGTGATTTAATATAGTGAATTAATATATTCATGTGCAAACACACGTCCCTTTCTGTGTTACAGGAAAATTTGGTATCACTCAGCATCTTATGGCTATTAGAATTATACGAATGAATTTCAGCAATCGATTAAATTGATGAACATTTGGTGGAAGAAAATAATCGGAAAATTCGAGCAGCTATGTATAGATTGTCGTCGTTGGTTACGTACGCGTTATTAGCGTTTGAAACCGCTGTTTCTGATCGTGAGGTTTGTCACGCCGGGCATCTCCCGTAAAAAAAACACGCGATGGGAGTAAATCAAAATTCGAAAATTCATAAAATACAAGATGGCAACCGCACCGAATGAGCGAGCATCGTGACGTGTGCACGCGTAAAACCTAATTAACTGACTACCCGCTCACCTTTCCTGGTTTGAACATCTGCGTGCCTTCGTCCGTGCCTGACGTCAGCATGTTTTTTTCGCTCTCTCCGTCCTCACCGTAGATAGTCATGTAGACGCGAGCGGACATGTGCGGGGCTGAACCGAGGCTGGTGTGAACCTCCACCACGTACTTGACCACTGCAAGCATGTCGAGTAGATAGTATCAAGAGCGTATAAAGAATCTTCCCTTCTTATACCCTTCTTTATACGCTCTTGATGGTATAGTGCGAGCGTGTGTGTGTGCGTGTCCGTGAGTGAATGTGTGTGAGTGCGCTGTCTCTGTGTGTGCGTGCGTGTGCGTACGTATGTGTGTATGTGTGCGTGCGTGTGCGTGTGTGTACGTGTGTGTGTGCATGTACGTGTGCGTGTGCGTGTGCATGTACATGTATGCACGTTTGGGTGTGAGTGCTGGCGCACGCGTGAGTGTGCAAGCATGTGTATGTGCGCGCGCGCGTGTGTGTGTGTGCGTGCGTGTGTGTGTGTGTGTGTGTGTGTGTGTGTGTGTGTGTGTGTGTGTCCATGCTTAGACCCAGTATTGTTACTGCGTTTGACAATAATCCGTTTTGCAGTGTTGTTGACTGTCACAATATGTTCTAGGAAGTATCATGTTCTAGCGACAGTATTGTAATGATGCAGAAATCATGAAATTAATATTGAAATGTAGGACTATGGAGCATAAGCGATAGTGGCACGAGTGGTAGAGAAATTAGTTAGAGGGACGACGATTATAGAAGCGTCCAACAGCACATTGAATAATTAACATAGCAACGCTTAGATGCCAACGGCAGATGGGCGATTAGTTTAGAGGGCACAGAAGGTGTTAGATAGTAGCGAGCACGCAGTAGTGGGCTAAAATAATTAGCCACCGTTACGAAGCAACGCATGCAGAATAAAAGTTACCGGGGACAATTTGGCAGCCAGCCAAGGTACAGAGGGTTGGGTTTGGATACAGTCCAAACCAACAAAAGAACAACTGGTCACTCATAAGACTAATGTCCGAGAGAACCAATAGGGGGGATGGCCGAAGCGGCCGGCGAGAGGAGAATGAACGCGCGCATGGAGAAGGGCACGCCCAGCATATAAAAGGGGACGCGGAGAGAGAACGTGGCCTGTTATGGTAATAGAGTGCTGGGTAAAATAAAACAACGTTTTCCCTGTGGAAACCCTGCTGTTCGCATTATAACTGACGTGAGTTTATTTAACGCTACAATATAATTACCAAGCACCACTTACTACGGGCATATGCGTATCATATAACATACCGTCAATATATATATATATATATATTATCGACTAGATTTTGCCTTATGAAGTACTTAATTACTACATTTTGCGTTGCCACGCGACATTTATGCGAGCACATGGGCACACTCACTCGATTCGTTTCTATCTCTCTGGCCTGTCTCTGGGTTGCTTGCAGCGTAGTGCTTGATGCTGGTGAGCTCTATCTCACGCTGCGGGGCGCCATCCTTACTGAGCCACCTTCACACGAAAGTAGATCGGTGGTGAAAACATTCAGTATTTACTTTTTACCTAATTTCTTCACACGAAAGTAGATCGGTAGTGAAAACCTTCAGTATTTTACTTTTTACCTTACTCGTGTTATATATCGTGTTACATATCATAAATATATATCGTAATACATCTAGATACATCTTTACGCGCAAAGTAGTGTACTCTCAAGTTCAACACACACGCGCACACGCACACGCACACACACACACACACACACACACACACACACACACACACACACACACACAGATAGACAGCACATATACACACATTACTGCCGGCAAAACCGAGTAAACAAGACGCATAGATAGTGCCGGCAGGGAACACGTTGTAGAAATGCGCATCATAGAGCTGGCAAAAGTTTCGAGCGGAGTATAGAGCGTGAAGCTGTGGTTATTTAACATGAATAAAGTGTATGTTGTGTATGCGACGAAACACAGTGAATATTTTCAATTAGTTTCTGTTCGATGCTTATTCAGGCCTGCTGCCTATGGACGCCTTCTACTGTTGTACACCACCTTAATCTTTGTTAGGATAGAGAGGATGTAGTTAGTTGTGTGGTTATTATAGTTTTCTCGCACGTACCTCTCGCTGACGAATTCGTAGTGCGTGCCTGGTTCGGAGGCGTCGTGTACGCGTACGTTACTGAGGAACCAGCCAGCTCCGGCTGTAAAGGCAGGACAGCATTATTTACACAACTCGACCCCACAGTATACATGCCCGCGCGCGCGCACGAACAAACGCGCACTCACGCACGCACGCACACACTCAAAGCCCCTGCACACGCGCGCAAAATATCTATCGCGTTTGATTTTTCTGGCCGAATGCGCACCGTGTGCAGGCTGGTTTACGTGCGCAGATGGCGCGCGCGTGTAGTTCAGCGTCGTTGGCGCGCGCCGAATGCGCACCGTATGCGGGGGCCTTCACGGAAGCACGCACGTACGCGCATATATTACGTAAGACACAATTTTGTTTAAATGTTCTGCTGATTAATTAATAGAAAAATTGACAATAGAAAAGAGACTAACACGGTGGCATGTAAACAATCTGTCCGAAAACCAACCAAAAACAAAACCAACAAATAATGACACCAACATATTCAACAACCAACTAACAACCAACACTTACTTTCCGTCTCATATTCTAGTAAGATTTTGGTTAAGACTCCCAACTCAACCGCCTCGACCTCGAACATATCCGTCTATAAAGCAGAATAATAAGCTATAAAGCATATAAGCTATAAGCTATAAAGCAGTCAACAAACACGAACAGGTAGTACTGACTGTTCGAACTGTCAGATAGTTCGGACTGTCAGAAACCGTGTCCGCATGTACATCCCAAGCATCACATGAAATCCCCCTCGCGCCCAAATCCATAACCGTTAACACAATTGGAGTAAATGAGAATATCTGCATAGAACGAGGCAAACGGTGGGATGGATGATAAAAAGGAGGGTGAGGTGGATAGGGAAAAGGAGTGTGGTGGCACAAGAAGGGATGCATGGAGGAGAAGAAGATTGCACGAGAGCAACAATAAAAGCGTGACTGAGCAAAATAAAAGGTAAAATAAAAACGAGGAGAGCCAGTGAAAAGCAAGAGTTTGTTAGTATGAGGTTTACCTACACACACACACGCGCGCGCGCGCGCGCGCACGCACGCACGGGCGCGCGTTCTAACGCAGGAGCGTACACGCAGCCACGTGTCGCCATAGCTGGATCGTGCACGCCGCGCAGATTAATTTCAATGGTAATTAACTGTAATTAATAATGGTGGTGACCATCACACATCGCTCACGTGCGCGTAGCGTATCAATAAAGCCAGCGCACGGGCTGTGAAACTGTGAAATAAGGCAATTAAGTTCCCTCCTGTTAATAATATTTGTCATCATCATGGTCATTATCATCATCGTCGTCGTCGCCGTCATCATCATCATCATCATCATAATAATAATAATCATCATCTGCATCATCATCATCATCATCATCATCAGCTTCATCATTATCAGCAGCAGCAGCAGCATCATTATCATTATCGTTATCATCATCATCATCATCAGCAGCAGCAGCAGCAGCAGCATCACCATCGTCATCATCACATTATTTATCATAGGCGGTGTTATGAAGTGCGGAGAAACCTTGGAGTTCCGGAGCAGAGGTCGTGGCGCTCTTAGCAGGGATACACAGCTATACTATACTAGGCGAGTCCCGCTTTATATGCCGCCGGATCTCAAGCAAGCTAATTGTGTCAATTCATGTTGAAGCGTAATAACGCAACTCGCGGTGACGTTTATTGTGGTTGAAATTTGGCACATCGGACATGAGGGATCGTTATATTTATTAATTGGAGGTTATTATAAGAGCGAGATCAGCGTGGCACCACTATAATTACTTGAGAGTGATGTCATAGTGGAGATGGACACGCACGCGCGCACACACACACACACACACACACACACACACACACACACACACAC